AACAGCGTGAAAATGCACAGGAACCTTCCCCCTTCTCTCTAGGATATTTATAAAATCACTGTGAATTTACCAGGGTTGGGGTTTTTTTAGCTCCAGAATCTCCAGTAAGTTGCAAGAACATCACTCCTTTCCCAAGGCCTGGTGCGCTGCCCCACGCAGGGACATTTGGCAGATCCCCTCCCCCTGCACGCAGGGATGCTGTTGACCACGTGTGACTCTGCTCCTGTGAAGCAATGAGAGGCAGAAAAAAGGAAGGAATAAATGAATTAGTAAGTAAAACCCAAAAAGAAATATAATAATAAATAGTAAGATGTAGGGAAAGTGATGGCACATGCTTGGCTGAAAACAGTCCCTACTTAAAATAGCTGTAACAATAATCCTTTAAACTTTTTTGCAAACTGTTATTATGTTACTGCTAAAAGAAAAGGGATTAGGTCTGGAGTGTCTGAATTAGATTACATTGCATCTAATGAACCCTTGTTTAAATTGTTTTAATAAAGTGAAATAGGGAAACTCAGTGAAACTAATGAGCTGATTTGGGAGGATACTATTTGATAACCCAGCTAATCCCCATTAAATCTATTGTTTATTAAAAAATCATGATCTTGGGTGTTCCACTATTGGCTTTGCCCTTTCTAAATTCCATAGTTGGACATATTTAAATAATTACCCTAAGTGATTTTCTGTATTGAATAAGCAGTGCAGCAACGACTGGGGCTACCATGCCTATTGAAAATACTTCAGGCTCTGCAGCTCGTTTTTAAACTCGCATTATTTTTTATGTGGACTACTTGTTGGTAAGAGCTGTGATGTTCTCCTGATGGGGTGGGTTTGCAGTGAGGTCAGGGTCTGTTTGCCAAGCAAGGGAGAGTCTGCTTTGGCTGCGGAAAAAGCACCAGCTGTTCTGGGAAATAAAAGGGAGGTGGACATGTTTGCAAGCTTGGGACAGTAAGGAAATAGATGGATGCTACCATCTAATAGAGGGTGCTACCCTCTCCCTGGTCACCAACCAGCTCCTGAAGCTGATGGGGATTGTTTGTGAGCACCTCTGAATTCAGGGAGGATCATGTTTGTCTTTGCTGCTCCTGAACATCAGATGGTCTCTCTGACCTGCAGTTCACAGAGATGTCCCAATAGTAAAATTCAAGCAGTCCTTGAACGTAGAGGAAGACAGGGATCCCTTTAAATGAGGGTCCTAAAACTTGACCCTATAAGAAACTGCATGGTTTGCAAACATCCTGCAAGTTCCTGGTGGGAGCTAAAGACACACTTAATTATGTAGAAAAGGATCATATAAACATTAAAAGCCTAGTTTATGATTTAACCTAATACAAGCAGTTTATGATGCATATTTTTATAGTGAGTCATTAATCACTGCACTAAGGATCTCTTGCTTCTCTGGTGCTCCCTTGTCAGGTGAGTGAATTGCTCTTGTTTTTACTTTGTACCCATCAACTGTAAGAGTGGGTGGGAAGAGATCAAGCATTTCTTTAAAAGGATGCTCTAGTAGAAATTAAATTCTGCTTCCACCGTTAAGAATCTGAACAAATTAAATAAAAAATATGTTGCCACGTTGTCAAGTGAAGGTAAAACCTTTCTCTTCTGTGGCCAGCATCAACTTTATTCTCAGTAGCACTGTGATACACCTCAAAGGGGAGAATCCACAGCAGCTGATGAATTCTCAGAGGTGTTAAGTCAGAGATTTGAAGAAGCAAGCAAACAAAACAACACCACTAATGACTTACCCAGTTTGAGATATCTGAAGTCAAGCATGCTGTGTGTGCAGGAACACAGTCCCACCTCTGGGCTTGCAGAACTGCAGTGTGTGCTGTGAAAAAATCGTGGTGCAGATGCCCTGAAATCTCTTTACGAGGAGATAAAAACTCATTATGTAATGGACTGTAATACACAAGCAAATCAGTAGACTTCCCAAACTTATGTGCCCTGCCTTTACTTTCTTTAAAAACAGACAAACTGCATTTTCTCTGAACAGAAATGCTAGTGGTGTATCGTGTAGTAGAGAATTCTTGACCTGATTTTATTACCTTCAGCTAAGGAGATTTAGATTCCTTTGAGCACTCAGTGTTTTAAATGCAGATTCCAGGCTGGTGCACTGTAATAAAAATGTCACAAGGTTTATGGATAGCAAAGTTTAATTCTGAATTCTGGACAGTGCTTTTTGCTCTGTGTGATTCACGGGGCCAGGTCCCTAATCTGAGAGCTAAGTAGAAACCCCTTTCTGGAGAGTGTCTCAAAATTTCAGGGTTTTTTCCCACATGGTTAAATAAAATACAAGTGACAAGCGTTAAAAAATGCAGGTTAATCAAAATGTCTTACTTTGGTAAATCTAAAAATACTTCATTTTTCTTTCCCAAGCTGTAATTTTTAGTAGAAATCAATGACGTTTTGAATGAAA